CAATTTGGCCAGTGCGGCTTTTACTTCTGTTTTTAGAATTCCAGGTCCGTTGATAGTTCCGTGTATTGCTGGTTACTCTCTTTCGTGGTGGAAGAGTTCAGTAATATACTCGCTCCAGCGTTGAAGAATTTTTTCCTGAGCGTTCCATTCTTTGATTTTAAGCATCCTGTTCACGAGCATGTCTTCTGTCCTGCTAGTTGCTTTATTTGTTTGTGCATATCTCTTTTGTTGGTAGTACTTACCGCTTTTCTTTTTCGATAATATCATGTATGGACATCCGTATTTACAAACATTGGCACATTTATGTACATAAAAAATGCCAACATTCTTTTTAAAATACTGCATGTTGACGAATTGTAATACGTAATTCTATTTATGATTAGTAAATATATCTCTTATTTAATGTCAATATCCCTTAACCTGTGGAAAATTAATACAGAATTTTAAATGATTTAAAATTTTATAAATTATTCTAATCCTTGTAAAAAAAATCATTATTCATCGAAAATAATTTTCTTAAAAATGTCCAAAATACATCTCATTTATAAAATCAAGAAAAAGCTTTTCTAATTAAATAATGTCTTAGTTTTATCGCATTTTTATTTGAAGCTTCAGAGCAAATTTTCAGTAACTTGTGCTCCTGTTTTAAGAAAAAAAATAATGATTTAAATTATTCATGGAGTACAGTGTATAACTAATATAATCATTGTGCATACAAAATAAATTATCGAAATTTCATAAAATTAAATATTTACTTGGGAGTTACAGATGTAAAAATGTTTTTAACAAAATTGTGTAAAAACGAACTATTTCGAAAATAATTTAATTCCTTTGTGAATAAGTCCTGAAAGTTTCATTAATATCCGACAATTATTTTTATTTTTTTGCAAGAATTTTCAAGCCAATGTGTTTTTACACTAAAAAGAATTACATATATATATATATATATATATATATATATATATATATTATTATTATTATTATTATTATTATTATTATTATTATTATTAATATGGTCATCCACATACAGGCCTGTTTCGCTGCATCACAACTTACAGTGTGTCTAGACACCCGGTTGCTTTCAAGCCAGGATCGAGACCCTGGCCCTAAGCTATCAGCGCACGGCAGAGAGAAAGGGAAATTCTAACGTATTGTTTACGGATGTAAACAAACGCCAGTAGCCACAGTGTTCAATTCCTTAGTGAAGAGCGGTAAGTTAATAGCGCTGGCGGCGACTGTTTTGGAATTATCTTTTCCTCAATAGTTCTCGATCGAATAGACGAGAGCTTTTTCATTATATATATATATATATATATATATATATATATATATATATATATATATATATATATATATATAATATTAGTGGAAAATATACATACATATGAAAAATATATCTAAAAATTCCCATACATGTACATTTTCAGAAAAAATTTTCCAAGAGGAAGGATCCAGGTAGAACTCAATGTCTAGGACAGAGTAAGGATATAATAAAAAGGAAACACTAATATTCCATGGTCATAATTTATTCCATTGGAATCGTAAATACGATCCAAATCATCAGACCTACAAATTCAAAATGAAAACAGAAAAAAAACAACTCCGGTACACTTTCTCTAAATTCTGTTTTGATTTCCGGAGTTGTTTTTTTCTGTTTTCATTTTGAATTTGTAGGTCTGATGATTTGATAGTATTTACGATTCCAATGGAATAAATTATGACCATGGAATATTAGTGTTTAAGCCTTTTATTATATATATATATATATATATATATATATATATATATATATATATATATATATACATATATATATCGTGAAATACATCTGTCTTATGGTTTGGCATGTTTTGCCGAAGTTCATTAGAGGTTTCAGGTCTACTATATATATATATATATATATATATATATATATGATTCAGAGGCTTGATTGGGTCTAGCTTACAAGTCTGATGGATTTCAGGTATACTCACCAAGCTAATTTTACTTCTTTGGTTTTAAGAGAATCTTTCCCTCATTCTTTCGTTTGTTTGTTGTTGTTTTTTAGTTTTTGTTCGTCATTTTTTACGGGTTGGTTGGATAGACCTCTGTTTACAACGCAAGTGCATTTCCTAATGATTAATTATATGAAGCAAATACATTTGCTACTATAATGAACAGATACGGATTTAACTTGAAACATGCTCCGAAAATCAGGAAGAAACCGGTTGTAAGTGGTTAAGAAGTAAGGCTAGTGTTATTGCAAGAATAAGGCTATATATATATATATATATATATATATATATATATATATATATATATATATATATATATATATATATATATAGTATAGGATTGGTGTATGCAGAATAAATTCCAATAACCAACAAATACTATTCTTAAAAGAGTGCAATACAGAGTAGAGCAAATATAATCATTTATTCGAAGATTATAACATAAAAATGTTATAAAATCACTACAAAAATAGGCATTTTGTTTCAACACTTCTGGTGTCTTATCGAGTGATGGCGTTGAATGAAGGTTGAATTGTTTAAAGGGTTCAAATCGATCAAACACCCCTGGCTAGAGGAAACGCTGTTACATAAGCTGCAATGATGGTGTTGCATATTCAACACTATCACTTGATAAGGCACCAGAAGTGTTGAAACAAAATTGCTATTTTTGTAGTGATTTCATATTTTTTTAAGTGATATATATATATATATATATATATATATATATATATATATATATATATATATACTAGACTCGTTTCGAAAAACCCTCGAATTTTGATTTGCTAATCAAATCAATCTCGAGGAAAAAAGGTTTTAAAAAAGAAAGAGCTACAAACATGAACTTCTGCCGACAAAAAAATCGCACAGATGCAGGTCTGAAGCCCAAAGAAAAAACCCCGATACGAGTAACAACTAACTAACAAAAGAGCTCAATACAACCGTAGAGCAGACCTAGATTTCTACTAATTCCTCCAATAGGGACATTTTTGAGGCTAACAAAATATAGTGGACAATAGTAACCCTCAAAAATGTGACAACATTCGTAAAAAAACTGCACTGTTTTTTTAAAAAATTCGGATTTTATCTCGATATAGAAACCAATTTGAAAATTACCAACTATCTAGATATTACGTTGAATTTACAAAATGGCACAATATCCCCGTATAAAAAAGAAAATCAAGAACCCCAGTATTTACACATAAAATCAAATCACCCAGCCCATATTATAAGGCATATTTCTAAAAATATTGGGTATAGACTTTCTACTAATTCCTCCAATAGGGACATTTTTGAGGCCAATAAAATAAGTTATGAGCAAGCCCTAATTAAGAGTGGACATAAAAATAAATTAGAATATATAGACAACCACAACATTACTCGGAATAAACATAATAGGCAAAGAAAAATTTTGTGGTTTAATCCCCCTTTCAATTTAGCGGTAAAAACTAAAATTGGTAAGATATTCTTTAATTTACTGGAGCAACATTTCCAAAAAAAACTGAGTTACATAAAATGTTTAACAAAAACAATGTAAAACTTAGTTATTGTTGTATGCCGAACGTAGGGACTATTATAAATGGATTGAATAAGAAAAAAACAAGGAATGATCCACGTAGTAATCCTCCTACTTGTAATTGTAGAAACAAAAAATCTGTCCATTACAGGGAAAATGCCAGCAAGAATGCGTGGTGTATCAAGTGAAAATTTACAAAAATACTGAGGATACTAACCCTAAAACATACATAGGTGCTACTCAGGATAAATTTAAAAAAAGATATTATAACCACACGAGTAGTTTTAAGAATGCAAAAATTAAACACCTACGTATGGAAAACCAAACAAGAAGATAATATAGACCCCATCCTTAAATGGGAAATATTAAAAACATACCGAAAATATAAAGCAGGCCATAAATTTTGCAAATTATGTGCTGAGGAGAAGTTAGCCATAGCTTTATATGATCAACCTAACCAGCTATTAAACTCTAAAACTGAAATTCTCAATGTATGTAGACATAAAAAATCTTGGCTACTAAATTAGACGTTTTCCCGTTATTGACTTTCCACTGAGGATTTTTTTTTTGTTGAATAAATATTTACCCCCCACCACCACCACTTAGGTTGTTTTGTTTTTTGTTTTTGTCACGTGGTATGATTTTAGCTATCACCTATAAATATATGTTTCTTTGCTTTGCCTCGTTAGCCAAACTTTCCCTGACGATCCGTTTAGGTGAAACCTAGGTAGGTTTGTCTGGCTCACTAGGTGTATCTTTATATATATATATATATATATATAATAGCATATTCTTAAAAGGCTATTATATATATATATATATATATGTATATATATATATATATATATATATATATATATATATATATATATATATATGAGACAAAGATTATATCAAAACTTCATGAGTTTACCAGAAATCCATGACACTTGTAAGTTATAGCCAATCAAGCCACTGGATTTTTAGATAGCCAGGAATCAACAACTCGATGACTGCCTTGAAAAGGACACACCAGACGAACACAGACCGAAATTAGAACAAACGATCTTTAGTGACGTATTATTCTAGATTTTGCGCCACCAGAGTCAATTTATGAAGCCATCTGAGAATAAACACTTTACTGAATAATGCAAGTCTTTTTCAGATGCAAAAGTAAATTATTACTTTGATGTTTTTTATTTTATTCTGCATAAAATAATCCGATTCTCTTACAATTCTGTTTTCTTAATTTTCTAAGTATTTTTATAATTACATTGTTTTAATGTATTTACGTTACTCATTGTTTCCCGTGTGTTTCGAATATAACAAATTATATTTTGAAAGAGAACTATATTAATTGGTGTGATGTTTTTGGCGATATTTCAAATGATTATTCTTCGACCATATTTACCGAATTGAACAAAAGAATGAATGAATAAGTAAAATAAAGAAAACAAGGAAGATAAAGAGAAAGGAGATGAGAAAGAAAGAGGTTAGAAGAAGGAAAGCAATTATAGAGAATGAGGAAAAAAAGAAAAGAAACAAACGAAAAAGAAAGAAAGAAAGAAAGAAAGAAAGAAAGAATGGACGAAAGGAAGAAAGATTAGAAGGAAGGAAGACGGAAAGAGAGAAATCAAAAAAGAAAAAGAGAACTAAGAGTAAATGAAAATAAAGAAAGGTGAGACTTGAGGAAAGAAAGGAAAAAAAGGGGGACAGAAGAAGATAAAAGAAAAAGAAAGATGAAAAAAGAAAGGAAAAAGGAAACAAGAATAAGATGAAAAAGAAAATTATTAAGAAGAAAAGAAACAAGAAATAATGAAGACAAAACAAAAAGAAAAAAGTTAGAATGAGGAAAATAAAGAAAAAAAGCAAACGGAAAGAAAGAAAGAAAAAAGAAAGAAAGGTCGAAAGAAAGAAAGATCGAAAGAAAGAAAGAAAAAGATCGAAAGAAAGAAAGATCGAAAGAAAGAAAGAAAAAGATCGAAAGAAAGAAAGAAAAAGATCGAAAGAAAGAAAGAAAAAAGATCGAAAGAAAGAAAGAAAAAGATCGAAAGAAAGAAAGAAAGAAAAAAGAAAGAAAGATCGAAAGAAAGAAAGAAAGATCGAAAGAAAGAAAGAAAAAGATTGAAAGAAAGAAAGATCGAAAGAAAGAAAGAAAAAAGATCGAAAGAAAAAAGATCGAAAGATCGAAAGAAAGAAAGAAAGAAAAAAGAAAGATTAGAAAGAAGAAAGACGGAAAGAGAAACAAAACAATAAAGAGAATTAACGGTGAATAAAAATAAAGAAAGGTGAGACAGAAGAAAAGAAAGGAGAGAGAAAAAGATAAAAGAGACAGAAAAAGAAAGGCAAAAAGAAACCAGAATAAAATGGAAAAGAAGAAACGAAATAAAAAAAAAATAGTGAAGACTAAAGAAAAAGAGAATAAATAAAAAAAGAGGAAAGAAAGAAATAAAAAAAGATGAAAAGGAGAAGAAAAAAAAAAAGAAGATTTATGAAAATAAAATGTTCAAATGAAATAAAGAAAATTAGAAAGAACAAAACGAAGGGAAAGACATGAAGAAAAATAAGTAACGTGCAAAGAAAAACATGCAATTTGCAAAGGGATGAAAGAAGAAAGAATGATAAGAAGAAAATAATGAAGGAAAAGAATTAATAGAAATAAAACAGAAAGCGGGGAAAAAGATGACAGGCTAATAAAGAGAGAAACACAACTAAAATAAATAAGAAGCTAAAAGCTCGTGGCGGCGGGGGGGGGAAGGGGAGAGAACTACGTCACGTTCTTTTGACTTATCAAAGGCGAGAATCTTTCTGAAGTCGAAACAAAATCTAGATTTCTAACTTATCGGCAACCAATAGGAATTAATAATCGAACGAGAAGAAAAAAATGTTAATAAAAGAACTTCAACACACACATATATATATATATATATATATATATATATATATATATATATATATATATATATATATATATATATATATATATATATATATATATATATATATATATATATATATATATATATATATATATATATATATATATATATATATATATATATATATATATATATATATATATATATATATATATATATATATATATATATATATATATAATTATTATATATTATTATTATCGTTATATATATATGAATCTGCCAGGGCAGATGAAAAGATATAGTTGGCGAACGTGAAAACAAAAAAAAAACGAAACCACACACACACACACACCGCCCCCAATAAATAAATAAAAAAAATCAGTTACAAAATAAAGCAGAAAATGGCGTACCGGCCACACATTCTATTTCAATATGGAAGTATGGCGGGTTCTAAATAGGAAAAGAAAAAGAGTCGCTGGTGTAACTTTGAATGACAAAAATAGCTAAAATCTAATTTTGATGTATTTATACTAACAAGTAGATGTCAACTTTAGTAAGCTAATTAACTTCAAAGACTGTTTTACCAGAAGAACCTAAAGATGTTTGTGAAGTTTTTCCGCTTTATGGAGATATCCATATCCTTTTTCCTTTTTTTTCTTTTTTTTTTTTTTAACTCTATCTGCTTTCTATGGACTGGGTTTGTTGTACACATGCGTAGACACGAAACATTGCTCATTAGATCAGGAAATAGAAAGTCCAAAATGGTTTCCACAAGGTGGAAAGAATATAACTAAAAATAACTGGTTCATTTTTTTTTAATTTTATAGTGGACTGTATTCGTGGGATCATCTAAGTGTCCTGCGAAACAAGAAAAATTGGCGGTAACATTACAAATGAAGAGATTTATCAAACTATTCAAATTATCTGAAATTCCCAGAAATTTCGGATAACAACGCAAACATATGCACACGTATGCGCACACAAAACTCGCACTCATCTATCTATCTATCTATCTATCTATCTATCTATCTATCTATCTATCTCATATATATATATATATATATATATATATATATATATATATATATATATATATATATAAAAACGTTAATGGTCAGATTTGAATCAGATCAGGAAACAGCCGGATTAAAGAGTGCTCAATACACACGTGAAAAATAAAATAAAAGTAAAAAATAACATGTAGGGCTTTTAATAATCGAACGAGATTAAAGATCAGGAAGTCAGTTGAATATGCGACCTTGGTTTCGACCTTACAGTTGCATCAGGCATTTTTTTTATCAACTGAACACTTAACGCTTTCTTTTTATTTTAGAAAGTAAGACACAAAGAGGACATTATTATTTTCAAAAATAAACAAACGCTCGACGATCAAACACATGACGTTGTGTGTAATAGAAAGGAGCAGGGTGGAGAAAAGAAAAGTATATACATATATATATATATATATATATATATATATATATATATATATATTAATAGAATATATTGAGACAACTGATGGAATATATATATTCCATCGGATGTCTCAATATATTCTATTAAATCATATATATATATATATATATATATATATATATATATATATATATATATATTCTATCGGATGGCTCAATTTCTGGCCTTCCCTGACGATCCGCTTAGGTGAAACTTTGGTACGTTTGTCTGGACCTCTAGGTTTAACTATATATATATATATATATATATATATATATATATATATATATATATATATATATATATGATTTAATAGGGTTCAAAAAATTTTACACCAGTTTAAAAAAGCAATTATCTTGAAAACTACTAAGTCTCGCTCAGTGAAATTGAACATCATAAGTTTATTCTGGAACCGATTTCATAAGGTTTTAATATGTGCAGCATCTGTGACACGGCACACGTCAAATAGGTAGTTAAACTCTTGCCAAACATGGTGTAGCTTGTCACCGGCAACATTATCCATTGTAGAAATGATTCTCTGCTTGAGTTCCCCAATGCTAGTAGGAAGACCGGGGACATAGACTAGTTCCTTCACATATCTCCATAAAAAGAAATCACACAGTGCCAGGCCCGGTGAGCGCGAAGGCCATTTCATCAGAAAATTGTCTTCATCTGCACCACGCCCGATACATCTCTCTGGCAGATTCCCATTGAGATAACAAAAATAAAAGATTAAATATTTTTTTTATATTTAATGTTTTATTTTTGTTTTGATTACATTCTCAGAAAATGATAAAAAAGAAGCACTTCAATTTCAGCTTATCATATTTTGTCTTGTGAGATTCTGAGTAATTCGAGAACTGTTCATTATATTATAAACAATATAATATATTATCTAAAATAATATAGTTACTGATATTTATTTTTAAGTTGTGGAGAACTAAAGAATCCCCCAACCTGTAATCATATTCAAGATATATAGATTCAGATATAAGTAGATCCTGAAAAAAACTATGGATAATTACTTTCTTGGGAACACATAAGATTGTATAATAAGATCCAGCAATCATAGATAGATAGATAGATAGATCACGAACAGACTGAGATAGATAGATAGATAGATAGATAGATAGATAGATAGATAGATAGATAGATAGATAGATGCGAATGTATATTTCTTGAATACTCTGAGATAGACAGATTTGAATAGATAAATAAATAAATATTTACGAATGAAGTGAAATAGGTAGATAGATAGATATGAATAGAGTGAGATAGATATAGAGATAAATATATATATATATATATATATATATATATATATATATATATATAAAACGAAGTGAAATAGGTAGATAGATATTTGATAGATAGGTAAATAGATATGAACAGAGTGAGATAGATAGATAAATAGATAGATATGAATAGGGGATATATATATATATATATATATATATATATATATATATATATATATATATATATATATATATATATATAAACAAAATGAAATAGATGGATAGATATGAACAATGTGAGATAGATAAGACAGAAACAGATAGAGATAGATAAGAACAAAGTGACATAGATAGATAGATAGATAGATAGATAGATAGATAGAAACAGACTGAGACAGATAGATAGATAGATATGAATAGAGTGATATATATATGTATATATATAGATTGATAATTTTAGTGGTGAATATAGACATACATATGCAATCATATATCTAAAATGTATAAATATATATACATACATACATACACATACACATATATTTGTATGAAAAAGTTTCAAGAGGATAGAATCCAGGTAGAACTCAACGTCCAGGACAGAGTAAGGATATAATAAAAAGGCTTAAACACTAATATTCCATGGTTATAATTTATTCCATTGGAATCATAAATATATATATATATATATAATAAAAAGGCTTAAACACTAATATTCCATGGTCATAATTTATTCCATTGGAATCGTAAATACGATCCAAATCATCAGACCTACAAATTCAAAATGAAAAAAGAAAAAAACAACTCCGGAAATCAAAACAGAATTTAGAGAAAGTGTAAGTATGAGGAGGAGGGACATGAAACCTTAACAGAGAGAATTTTAGGAGATGTTGGAATTTAAAAAGAGGAGAGAAAGAAAGTCGACGGATGTCTAATGCATAAAGATACATTTCGTGGTGACATATACACACCATAGACAATTAGGATAGGAGGGGAAAAAAAAAAGAAGAGAAGAGGTGGGGGAGAGAGATGGGACGAAGGAAAATAAAAAGGGGCCGCTTTGTAATTGAGAAAATTAGTATCGACTACAGGTTAGAAATCAAATATAAATATATGAAGATGAATATAACGATTGTCTAATTTAGCAAGGACCAAATATGTATATTTTCCTCTAATATTATCTATATATATATATATATATATTTGCAAACAACGGATTGAGAAATAAGGAAGAACGTGGGGCCATGTGGCTTCATGTTCTTCTTAAGTGAATTTGTAAGAAGTGAATATAAGAATGTGATATTGTACCGAAATAAATATTACATACAAACTTTACACCAGAATGTCAAAGGAAGCCAGTTTCAATGTTAACCTCGGGCTACAGACTGCCACCGAATCTTTAAGTACGTCACCTCACCACTGCATAAGGTATTTCAAACCTGAGAAGAGGAATTTTAGATAGATGCATATATAAACAGCGATTATAGAGATGATTCTCGCAGTCTCTCACACATCGCAATGGAGAATGTAATGGCTACGTTTTGTTTGGGCGTGGGTTCTACGGGAGTCGTATAGCGCAGACTTGATGGAAGAGACAGAGAAAATATTGGTGTAAGTCATGTAGATTCAAATCTCCTGCTGTCGTTTAATCGGCACTTCTCTTCGCTATGAAACGCTTCAGTGATAATTCGAATCCGGGTCACGGGTTCCATATTCAGGAGCAACATCTATTTTACCATCAGCGGATAGAAGTGTATAAGTATGTCATGATGGAATAAACATGAAAGAAGAGAATAGATAATATGAATAAACAGCGATAGATAAATATGTCCGATTGCTCGTTACCGAGCACTCTCATCTTCTAGGACGTCTAGAACCCCCCCGTCGCTGTTTCTGGGAGTGAGCGCATATTCTGGCGGGACAGTTTCGAACAAGAACAGTAGGCTCAAACCCTTGGTCATGCTGACTTGTGACTTTGTGCTAGCACAACACTCGAAAGCTTGCCTATAAGTTTCGTCTAACCAATTTCATTGAAAGGACTGGGGTTTCAGAGTCCGTAATAAGGTTTTAAGGCATTTTCCAACGGTGACACACAGCGTCTCACCGATAATATGAACAAGTTAGTGTCTTGATAAATCGACAATAGCGAAATTCGAACTCTGGTATCATTGTCGAAAAATGAACGGTCTATCCACTGGGCCATATACTTACACACACACACACACACAAAAACACACACACACGCACACATACACACACACACATATATATATATATATATATATGTATATGGAGAGAGGGAGAGAGAATTAGTGAGAAAAGTTAAACACAGATAGATAGATAGATAATAAACAGGATAACATAGATAGATAGATAGATAGATAGCTAATAAACAGGATAACATAGATAGATAGATAGATAGATAGATAGATAGATAGATATAAAGAGACATAAAGACATAAAGTGAGATAGATAGATAGATAGCTAATAAACAGGATAACATAGATAGATAGATAGATAGATAGATAGATAGATAGATAGATATGAAAACACTGAAATAAACAGACAAACGGACATACAGATATGAACACACCGAAGTGAACTGATAGATAGATAGATAGATATGAACAGACTGAGATATAAACGATAGATAGATAGATAGATAGATAGATAGATAGATAGACAGATATGAAAACACTGAAATAAACAGACAAACGGACATACAGATATGAACACACCGAAGTGAACTGATAGATAGATAGATAGATATGAACAGACTGAGATAGATAGATAGATAGATAGATAGATAGATAGATAGATATGAAAACACTGAAATAAACAGACAAACGGACATACAGATATGAACACACCGAAGTGAACTGATAGATAGATAGATAGATATGAACAGACTGAGATAGATAGATAGATAGATAGATAGATAGATAGATAGATAGATAGATATGAAAACACTGAAATAAACAGACAAACGGACATACAGATATGAACACACCGAAGTGAACTGATAGATAGATAGATATGAACAGACTGAGATAGATAGATAGATAGATAGATAGATAGATAAACAGATAGATAGATGAGATAGATGAAAACACTGAAATAAACAGACAAACGGACATACAGATATGAACACACCGAAGTGAACTGATAGATAGATAGATAGATATGAACAGACTGAGATAGATAGATAGATAGATAGATAGATGAAGAAAAAACACTGAAATAAACAGACAAACGGACATACAGATATGAACACACCGAAGTGAACTGATAGATAGATAGATAGATATGAACAGACTGAGATAGATAGATAGATAGATAGATAGATAATATATGAAAAACACTGAAATAAACAGACAAACGGACATACAGATATGAACACACCATAGATAGAAGTGAACTGATAGATAGATAGATAGATATGAACAGACTGAGATAGATAGATAGATAGATAGATAGATAGATAGATAGATAGATAGATGTAGAAAACACTGAAATAAACAGACAAACGGACATACAGATATGAACACACCGAAGTGAACTGATAGATAGATAGATATGAACAGACTGAACAGACATAGATAGATAGATAGATAGATAGATATGTAAAAAAACACTGAAATAAACAGACAAACGGACATACAGATATGAACACACCGATAGTGAACTGATAGATAGATAGATAAAACATATGAACAGACTGAGATAGATAGATAGATAGATAGATAGATAGATAGATAGATAGATATGAAAACACTGAAATAAACAGACAAACGGACATACAGATATGAACACACCGAAGTGAACTGATAGATAGATAGATAGATATGAACAGACTGAGATAGATAGATAGATAGATAGATAGATAGATATGAAAACACTGAAATAAACAGACAAACGGACATACAGATATGAACACACCGAAGTGAACTGATAGATAGATAGATAGATAGATAGACTGAACAGACTGATAGATAGATAGATAGATATGATAGATATGAAAACACTGAAATAAACAGACAAACGGACATACAGATATGAACACACCGAAGTGAACTGATAGATAGATAGATAGATATGAACAGACTGAGATAGATAGATAGATAGATAGATATGAAAACACTGAAATAAACAGACAAACGGACATACAGATATGAACACACCGAAGTGAACTGATAGATAGATAGATAGATATGAACAGACTGAGATAGATAGATAGATAGATAGATAGATAGATATGAAAACACTGAAATAAACAGACAAACGGACATACAGATATGAACACACCGAAGTGAACTGATAGATAGATAGATAGATATGAACAGACTGAGATAGATAGATAGATAGATAGATAGATAGATAGATATGAAAAAACACTGAAATAAAACAGACAAACGGACATACAATATGAACACACCGAAGTGAACTGATAGATAGATAGATAGATATGAACAGACTGAGATAGATAGATAGATAGATAGATAGATAGATAGATAGATAGATAGATATGAAAACACTGAAATAAACAGACAAACGGACATACAGATATGAACACACCGAAGTGAACTGATAGATAGATAGATAGATATGAACAGACTGAGATAGATAGATAGATAGATAGATATGAAAACACTGAAATAAACAGACAAACGGACATACAGATATGAACACACCGAAGTGAACTGATAGATAGATATATATAGATGTGAACAGACTGAGATAGATAGATAGATAGATAGATAGATAGATAGATGAAAACACTGAAATAAACAGACAAACGGACATACAGATATGAACACACCGAAGTGAACTGATAGATAGATAGATAGATAGATATGAAAACACTGAAATAAACAGACAAACGGACATACAGATATGAACACACCGAAGTGAACTGATAGATAGATAGATAGATAGATATGAACAGACTGAGATAGATAGATAGATAGATAGATAGATAGATAGATATGAAAACACTGAAATAAACAGACAAACGGACATACAGATATGAACACACCGAAGTGAACTGATAGATAGATAGATAGATATGAACAGACTGAGATAGATAGATAGATAGATAGATAGATAGATAGATAGATAGATAGATACATGTATGAAAACACTGAAATAAACAGACAAACAGACCTACAGATATGAACACACGGAAGTGAACTGATAAAGATAGATAGATACAGATATGAACAGACTGAGATAGATAGATAGATAGATGATAGATAGATAAATGAAAACACTGAAATAAACAGACAAAACGGACATACAGATATGAACACACCGAAGTGAACTGATAGATAGATAGATAGATGTGAACAGACTGAGATAGATAGATAGATAGATAGATGATAGAAAACACTGAAATAAACAGACAAACGGACATACAGATATGAACACACCGAAGTGAACTGATAGATGATAGATAGATAGATAGATGTGAACAGACTGAGATAGATAGATAGATAGATAGATAGATAGATAGATAGATGAATGAATGAAAACACTGAAATAAACAGACAAACGGACATACAGATATGAACACACCGGAAGTGAACTGATAGATAGATAGATGAGATGTGAACAGACTGAGATAGATAGATAGATAGATAGATGAATGTATGAAAACACTGAAATAAACAGACAAACGGACATACAGATATGAACACACCGAAGTGAACTGATAGATAGATAGATAGATATGAACAGACTGAGATAGATAGATAAATAGATAGATAGATGTAAAAAACACTGAAATAAACAGACAAACGGACATACAGATATGAACACACCGAAGTGAACTGATAGATAGATAGATAGATATGAACAGACTGAGATAGATAGATAGATAGATAGATAGATAGATAGATGAATGATATGAAAACACTGAAATAAACAGACAAACGGACATACAGATATGAACACACCGAAAGTGAACTGATAGATAATATGATAGATAGATAGATGAACAGACTGATAGATATGATAGATACAAAGGATAGATAGATAGATAGATGAATGATAGATATGAAAACACTGAAATAAACAGACAAACGGACATACAGATATGAACACACCGAAAATAGACAACTGATACAGATAGATAGATAGATAGATATGAACAGACTGAGATATATAGATAGATAGATAGATAGATAGATAGATAGATAGATAGATGTAGAAAACACTGAAATAAACAGACAAACGGACATACAGATATGAACACACCTGAAGATGAACTGATAGATAGATAGATAGATAGATGTAAAAAAACACTGAAATAAACAGACAAACGGACATACAGATATGAACACACCGAAGTGAACTGATAGAGATAGATAGATAGATAGATATGAACAGACTGAGATAGATAGATAGATAGATAGATAGATAGATAGATAGATAGATAGATATATGAAAACACTGAAATAAACAGACAAACGGACATACAGATATGAACACACCGAAGTGAACTGATAGATGAATAGATAGATGAATGTGAACAGACTGAGATAGATAGATGAGATAGATAGATAGATAGATGTGAAAACACTGAAATAAACAGACAAACGGACATACAGATATGAACACACCGAAGTGAACTGATAGATAGATAGATAGATGCGAATAGAATGAGATAGCTAGCAACGAGATAGATATAAACAGATTAAAATAGATATAAAAAAATTTGTATAGATAGATAGATAGATAGATAGATAGATAGATAGATAGATAGATAGGCCGATAGATAAATGTCACTAGAATTAGATAGATATATAAATTGATCGATCGGTCGGTCGATAAATAGATAGATAGATGTCACCAGAATTAGATAGATAGATAGATAAATTGATCAATGTATATAGATAGATAGTTCGATATAATCATTAGAATTAGATAGATAAATTGATATATCGATCGATCGATCGATCGATAGAAAGATAGATAGATACATGTCCCCAGAATTAGATAGGTAGATAGATGTCACCAGAATTTGATAGATAGATCGATAAATAATTAGAATTAGATATATAGATAAATTGATCAATCTATCGATACATGGGTAAATAGATAGATATCGCTAGAATTAGATAAATTGATCGATCGGTCGATCGATGGATCGATCGATAGATAGATTGATAGATGTCACCAGAATTAGATAGATAGATAGATAGATAGATAGATAAAAACACCCTGAGACAAGCAGACAAAAAGACGGTGAATTTGAAAAGGGATCTGAACTGAATTATATGAGAAAACGAAATTTGTGAACATACATAGGAGAAAGACGGAAAATACGCTTCTTTGATGTGAAAAACTTCCCGAATACGACAAATGAGTAGAGATTGCTTCGGGACATGAAGTCTTTTATGTTTTGGGAAAACAAAAGACTTCAAAGCCTTTTCGAGATTAAGTTATTTCGGATTTTGCTGAAAGTAGAAAGGAAAGAAGCAGAAATGGAAACAGTCGGTTGTTTGTCGATTTTTGACATAAAAATCTGGATCCCGTGACGAGCAATTTGGAAACCCCACATTCGCCTTCATAATTACGATGGTTTATCAAGAGGAAAGCTTATAGTCTTCTTAAAAATATGTTTAGCATTTTGTCAGATTGTAGGCGTTACCAATATAATGTTCTTCTACTATGCGCCCTGTCTTTTCAGTACGTGGATGATCATGACTCTCCGCAACTTCCTATTCTTTGCAGCGAGTTGTATTTCCGCCAACGCTTCACAGTCCCTTTTCTGTCATCCATGTACATAGGATTGTTAGGCGTGTTACTCAATGTTTGCCTCTGTCCATTTTCATTTTAGTATATTCTTTTTAGGATGGGGGCGTTTGGTGTAGTGGATAACGGCACAGAATAAGAAACCTGACAGCCGAGTTCAAATTCTTGTGCGTTTTTTTTTTTACATTCATTTACGTGTAAATACCTTTGGTTAAGACTTTATCTGTACACCCCCAGCGATTGGGTTGAATAGCAGAACAGACTGTGTCCTTTTATAACCCCCTCTCTCTTCCCGTACACATCTCCTGGGCCCCGTTGGTCTCGTCTTGCTTTCTGTCGACGTGCGCCGCTCAGTTCGGGCCCCGCTTGATCCGATATCTCAATCCTCGCACGGCTATTGGATAAGGAGAGTTTTATAGCTTCCGCATTGGTTTAGGGATTAGTGCCATTATAAGTCGTCGAATGTACAGTCTTGGTTCTTCAAGTGTTGTCATTCTTACCGATGAAGAAAGTTGTCTTCCTTCTTTTAGTCAATAAGCCGTGGTAAACTTCTTAATAAGATCAAGCTCTTACCGAAGAAATAATAACGCCAGTTTTGGTTAAATATAGACGATTTAATGAAATTGAATGAAATAATTTACAATCAAACATATTTGGACTTGAAATCTCGATCTATATTTTCAGCAAGGTTTTATCAGAAATTCAAGTTCGTGTGGGTTTGCAAATGCATGTGTTTCTAACGACTCGGTTGTCTCTGTCGTCCAGGCCCATCTCTGCTCTATCCTCAAGATCGAGGTTAATTTATGCATAATTCTCCGCCCACATCAAACTGTTTACACGCCAAAATAACTCAATTTCCCATTGTTTAATGTCGGGGTTAAAAGTTCAATACCTATGTTTTGATTTTACCCTATTTCATTCACAGCTATTGCTTCAAAATCAAAACATATTCGGCTGACATCAGAAATGGAATCAAAAACATGCTTTGACCTGCCCAATTCGAGATCACATCCGCCTCTCGTCAAGTATTCTTGCCTGGGCAAATTAATTAGGTCTAGAATAACACACACCAATCCATTTAAAAGATATAATATATATATATATATATATAAAGTGAACATATATATAATATATATATATATACAGTCTGTTTCATATAGCATGCAATCAGCGACAGTCTGACGATTGCATCGTCATGTTTGACGATTGCATATTTATTTACTATCCTCTCTGACATTGAGCACTTTATTCCATAAATATAGCATACCTTAAGACTATATTTCTTTATATATATATATATATATATATATATATATATATATATATATATATATAAGCCATTATCTAAGATGTCAATTACTGTACAATATATTAAGCAATATACGGACAAGACAGTGATGATAGTCTGTTATTGTTTACATGGTTGATTTCAAGCAACGTTCAAAAGACACGTTCATATAAGACATATATATATATATATAATATATATATATATATATATATATATATATATATGCATATATATATATATATATATATATATATATATATATAACTATATGTATAAATATATAATATGTTAAATATATTAATATCAACTATGAACACGGACACAATGTGTTGACAGTGTTTTGAAAATGGAAACGTTATATAAATACGTACATACAACACTCTATTTCTTGTTAAAAGTTAATATATTTCAACCTTGAAAATGTCTAAATGTGTAGCCGAACGCGCTTGGATAAAAGAACAATTGGTCATCTTTTATAAAATTTGTCACCCGAAAAGAAAAAAATTGTTAGATCACATGAAAAATTGTATAAGAAACTAAATGAAAGCACCTTGTTTGGTAATTATTTGGAGGTCTAATACAAAGTCCTTCTCGTAATTAAAGTGGGACCTGCTAAGAATGGTAAATGAGTCCACACACACACACACACACACACACATATATATATATATATATATATACACTACCCCAATTGACCCGAATGAAAAATCAAATTAATTATCTATTATAAAAAATTTAAGACAGCCAACCTTATCCTAAAAAATAACAACACACTAGTTAAGTCAAAATTACAAAGAACGAACATTATCTATGAGTTCAAATGCCCCTTAAATAACTGTGTTCCTGATCAAACCAGACTCATAAATAATTACATCGGTCACACAACTACATGCTTATCCAGACGCCTTACGTTACATCTATCTGATCACAGCTCCATTAGAACCCAGACATATATATTAATGTATATTTGGGCAGCAAACTTTATTTATACATGTGTCGTTGAATATGACAGACGAGGAAAAATTTATTAATTTTTTATTTAGGTTTTCCAACATTGTTACATTTCAAGCGACATTGAAAATACAGACAATTTTTGTCATCCCTTTACACCAAACTTAAAAAAAAACTAAATGAAAATTTAATCATATCTTCCTTGTCTGTCACATTCAACGAAACATATATATATATATATATATATATATATATATATATATATATATATATATATATATAATTATTTTATAAAAAAATCATAACATAAGTATGTTATAAAATCACTACAAAAATAGCCATTTTGTTTCAACACACTCTGTGTCTTATCAAGTGATGATGTTGAAAAGAAAATAAATGGTTTTTTTCAACCTTATGACCTTATATATATATATATATAGGTTGTATCGAAAATATTTTTACAAACTCACGCCAAAACAAAGACAAAGTCCTCATCACCACATATGTCCGCAAATCCTTCGTTTTTGAGTTATTAAGTTTAAAGAGAGATTACGGTAGATAACCCTGTGTTGCCATGTAGACTCGGTTACATTTATCATTCGTGTATATTTATGACTAATCTGTCTTCAGTGTTTAACGTGTGTAGTAGTGAGTGAACTGAGAAATGTTACGTTTAAAAATGGCAGGATATTCATATCGTAAGCTGGCAGATATGATTTTTACATACGGCCGTGTGAATGACAATGGACGCGAGGCTGCACGGCTGGAGAGATGGTATTTATCAATTCACCCACAGGAATTGAATGTGGCACAAGGCCTTTTTAATGTGGGTATGTCTGAGCCCGTAGGCCCAGCCAAAAATAAAACCCATCTAAACCCGTCCAAGCGGGCTAGTTCCGTCAACCTCCCCGAACGAAACCCTACCCTTCGGCAGAGCTTCGTCCGGGTTCCTCTCTGCAAGCAGAGAGTTCGACAGACACCCGACCCGGCAGCCCACAAAGCGCAGATACTACACTTTGATCCTAGCCACCGGGCCGAGCGGGTATTCTTTTTATAGAGAGATATAACGTGTTGACCGTTTTGCTAAATAAAAAATTCCTGTAAATCTAGATGCACAGATAAAATTCTGCTCACGATTTTATATATATGTCCCTTAAGGATATGTGTTCAAATCAAATTCATAAATAATTATATTGGATATACGACAACATCCCTGACAAGAAGACTCGCTTTACAGAGCTCAATTACGTATCATTTAAACAGACATATCAATCCACAATATACTCGTTGATAATACAAATATAATAGCACTAGCAGCATGTAAAAAGGCTAAAAATAATGGAAACAGTATTAATAAAAAAGAAAAGCCAACACGTAATAATATCAACTATGAACACGGCCAGAATGCTCTGAACGTGTTTGGAAAATAAAACAGTCTTATACGTTAGATACATACATAAAACAATCTATACATGCAGTTAAAAGTAAAAATAAAATCATCCTTGATAATGGTTAAAAGAATAGCCGAAAGTGACCGCACATACAAGACATTTGGACAATTTCTATATAATTTATGTCCAGAAATGAAAAAAAAGCCCCCAAAACTATAAGAACACAAGAAAAATTAAATAAAAGAAATTAACCGCAGTAGTTTTCAGTCATTTTTAACGAAATATATATAAAAGAGGGATTGCTGCCCTAACACACAATTATATATATATATATATATGTATGTGTGTGTGTGTGTGTGTGTGTGTGTATGTATATATATATAATTACATGAATCATTCATACCAAAAACAAATATAGAGTTTAATGATTTAAATATATTTGTTTTTTATGAATGATTCATATAATATAAATTAAATTGCACCTATAATTGAAATTAATATATATATATATATATATATATATATATATATATATATATATATATATATATATATATATCTTTATTATCTATATATATGTATATATCTTTCATTAAATAATATAAACAAGTTTTGTCTATTCATTTTAAGGAAAATCCTTTCATAACGTCTGATAAGCTTAATAACATTATCATTGCAAGACGAAAGAAAATCACCATGTTGATACATATTTTATTCTTAATGCTTTCTAAGTTTTCGGCTTACATAAGCTTTCATCGGATATCAAAGATGGTAATTTTGCAACAATGATAGTTTGTTTGTTTGTATGAAAGATTGATATGCAACGATAAATTCGTGCATATGAAACGCAGGAAGTAAATATCGCATTGCAGTTCATGATGTCACACTTGACCTTGCTAGTGTAAAAATGAAGAGAAGTATTAAGTATGGAAATGCCGTTGGTATAAACCAATAGCTTCTGTTATCAACTATAAGCATTTAAGTATATTTGTGGTGTTT